TGCTTGCAAACTAAATATTTTGCCAATGTAAATTTCCATGAAAACAAACTCACTAGCGACCTCAGCCCATAAAAGGAAGAAAAGCTCTAAGGCCCATAAAAGGCCGAAACCTCAGCTCCACACACCACTCACTCACTGGCTCCATCGGAAATATCTTCCTCGCCGCCGGCGGTGTCGCCGCCGCCGCCATGCTCCATCTCCGGCAGCGCATCGTTTCCCATATCATCTCCTCCGCCGCCACCTCTGCCGTCTCCTGCTCCGCCACCTCTGCCATCTCCTCACTCCGCCGCCTCCTCTGCGCAGCCGCCACCCCCGTTTCCCCGAACCCCAGTGGATTCGCCGTCGAGGACTACCTCGTCGACAGCTGCGGCCTCACCCGATCCCAGGCCATCAAGGCCTCCACGAAGCTCTCCCACCTCAAGTCCCCCGCCAACCCCAACGCCGTCCTCGCCTTCCTCTCCGGCCTCGGCCTCTCCAGCTCCGATGTCGCCGCCGTCGTGGCCAAAGACCCGCTTTTCCTCTGCGCCGGCGTGGAGAGAACCTTGGTCCCCGTCGTCGACGGCCTCACCGACCTCGGGCTGTCGCGTTCCGAGATTGGCGGCCTCGTCTCGCTTGTCCACTGCCGCTTCCGCTCCAGAGCCATCGTCCCTAAGCTGCGCTACTACCTGCCCCTCTTCGGCTCATTCGAGAACTTGCGCCGGCTGCTCAAGAAGGATCAATCCAAGCTTCTCTCGAGCGACCTTGACAAGGTGCTCAAGCCCAACATTGTGTCCCTGCAGGAGTGCGGGTTAGGTACTTGTGATATTGCCAAGCTGTGTATCAGTGCGCCGATGATACTGGGAACTAACCCGGAGCGCATCCGGGCAATGGTGGCATGTGCTGAAAGATTAGGTGTGCGCCGCAGCTCCGGTATGTTCAGGGAAGCGCTGAAGGCTGTCGCGTTCCTCAGTGAGGAGAAGATCGCCGACAAAGTGGATTATTTGAAGAATATGTTCAAGTGGTCCGATACTGAGGTGGCCATTGCTGTGCGCAAGGCTCCAATGTTGCTGACCAAGTCTAGAGAGATGCTTAGGCGCAAGTCTGAGTTCCTGATATCTGAAGTTGGGTTGGAACCAGTGTATATTGCTCATCAGCCAGTCATGATCTCTTATAGCCTGGAGGGCCGGCTCAGGCCTCGATACTATGTTTTGAAGTTTCTCAAGGAAACTGGATTGGTAGACCGCCACCGGGGCTTCTATAATGTGCTCACGAAGACCGAGAGGAATTTCGTGGACAAGTACATATGCCCTCACAAGGAAGCTGCGCCACACCTCGCTCAAGACTATGCAACCGCTTGCAAAGGGGAAGTGCCAACTAATTTCAGATTTACTTGAACCGAAAACGGGCCAAGGAAATTGGTTACTGTGTATGGCGCAACAAAGTATTCAAACTGTCTGATAAGCTGGGTACTTCCTTGTTTTGGTGTTGTTTGCCAGACTACATGTTGGCTGTTTTTTCTAGTATGCTGTTACATGCCAGTTTGGTCATTTCTAAGTGCTAAATCCTATGAAACTGTTAATTTTATTTCTGAACTCTGATATATTGATATTGTCATTCCTTAGAGAAGATCTTTGTGTTTTCCCGGTAATTTTTTATTCCTGAACCCTAAAGTTTAATTATATTTTCCTGAATCATGGTTGAGCAAAATATGTGTTGTCAGTTTCATTCTCTCATGTGTTCAGATTTTAGGACTGGGATTTGCCTGCACTTTGAGAATTGCTCCTCAATTTATCTGGTAGATATTCTTTTGTTAGTAAGAAATCCATCTATTCTAATGTGATTAAGATACGTTTCTTCCGGTCATTGGTTGTTTTCGTTACTGAAATCTGCACTTGCTACTGTTTGTATCATTGCTCCATGTCATTAATAAAATTCACGCCTTACAGTTAGCTGTTCATAGCTGCAGAATTGTAGGGGGTTCCATCCAATAGTTTGTAAACTATACTGGAGCAATATCATGTGAACACAATTTGCGCCCTGGTTATATTTTGCCTCTCTTTATGCGGGCCTGTTTTCTGCTCGCCATCATGTTTACGCATTCTTCATCACTGCTCCTTTATATTGGCAATCTTGTGTTTTGGTTGTCAGATTGCGGCTGTTTCCATGGTGTTGCTTAATTCGCCCCTTGTATTTTCAGTTGTTTCCAGACAGGTTAGTCGGTAGTACATACTTATGCAAATAAAAATACTGTTTTAATTGCTGCCACAGGAAAGTTGTGGCGTAAGTAACTGTCACAAGAGATTTGAAGAGCATAGTTTTTCTATTTGCAAGATCTTACTTAGATGTGGACCTGGAGATAGATATCCTTGGGCATGAACTTGGAGAGTGCCTTAGTGAGTTCGGCGATCTTACTTTTCATCTGAATTTTAATTGGTGGTGTCAATATTTGAAGCTAGGCTCCGGCTTACTCAAATGGTAGCGAGGTTCGGTGATCCTTTACATACCATACATATTTCTTAATTTGGTGTAACTTTAGAGTACGACACATTCTCTACAAGTTATTAATGGCGATAATTTTGTTGGCTCTGTGACTTGATTCCTATTTAGATTGCAGCCTCCTTGCATAGTAGGGCATAACATGGTTCCTAATGTTCAATTCTACTTAACTAGCTGACATTTTTAGGACACTGGTGTTGATATTTTTCTAATGTAATGCCTAAGATGCACTTTCCTGAACTATTTCAAGACAATGGCTGTTGTTGATATATTTTTGGTTCTTAACCCCAAAATGATAGGTATATACACTGTTCCAAGCTTTTACTAGGATATATGAGCTGTTGTTGCTATCCCTGGCAAGCTTTTGCTAATTGCAAGGTGAAATCAAGATTGTTACCGGCTCTTAAGCTGCGTGTACCATTTTCCATCTTTCTCTGTTTGTTTGAGATGCAGAAATGAACTCCTTCGAGCTTTGGATTAGTTGAGTTGGGAGCTGGTTTTTTTCAAATTTCAAATCATGAGTTTAATTTTTATTTCTCGTTAAAAATTTCAAATCCACAAGTTTTTTTCAAATTCACGAATAATTTTTAAATCCATGTACATTTCAAATTCATATAATTTATACACATTCACGGAAGTTTTCCAAATTCGTGAAACCTTTTTTTATAAATATTGATTTTTTTCAAACTAGTGAACATTTTTAAAATTAGGGAACATTTTCATATTTGTGAAATTTTCTAAAATTCATATAGATTTTCTCCAATTCATGAACTTATAAAATTCACGAACTGTTTTTCATGTTGGTGATCTTTTTCCAAATTCGTGACTTCTTTAAATCCCCTTATTTTTTAGAAAACCACGGTGTCTGTTTATGACTTTTTAAAAACATTTATCTTAACACCTACAACTACTGTTTTTGTAAATAGTGAGCAGCGAAGTGGACGAGTGTAGCCGAGCAACAAGCGGGCGAGTGCAAAGCACGTGGTCGAGCGACGAGAGGAGGAGCGCGGATGAGCAGCCTAAGTGTCACTCGCGTGCAAGCATTTTCCAGTAGGGCTCCCCAAGGCGCTAATTAGGAGCTCTGAAGTGGGATTATCCTAAAAAAAGAAGTCCATATGAGCAAGCCAACTCATTAATCCAAGAGAGACTTTTTTAAACGCTAGATCAGCCAGTATCGCTTTGTGTTTTCCTTCGTCACGGGTGTCAAGGAAGGCCCAGACCGGCTCTCGCGGCTGCACGGGAGTCAACTCTGCTTGCCGTCCCGCACGAGCGCTCACCATCCCAGCTTGGTTCTTGAGTACCGCACGAGCGCTCACCGTCGGCTGGTCGTCGGCTCGTCGTTGTAGTAGCACGCCAATCGCAGGACCGCACTAGTAGAAAAGGGGGCATTTATCCCGGTTCGTAAGGGTTTTTAGTCCCGGTTCATGAACTGGGACTAATGGGTCGTTACTAATACCCCTTTAGTCCCGGTTCTAACATGAACCGGGACAGATGGTCCTCCACGTGGCCGATGTGTCGAGCCCAGGCAGGGGGGGCTTTGGTCCCGGTTGGTGGCACCAACTGAGACCAAAAGGCCTTCACGCGTCAGCATTTCAGTGGCTGGGGTTTTGTTTTTTTTGAAAGGGGGTGTTTCATATATTGTGTTAGCTAGCTAATTAATAGAGAGAAGTGTCCTCTCTTATGTCCGTGCTTGGTCGACGCTACGTACTATACATAGAGAGGCTCTCGACACGCTAGCTAGTAAGAAAATGAAGGGAACCATTAAGTACAGAAGTTCGTCATGCGTACCGAGAAAAGTGATCGATCGACCTCTCCTTCTCCGAGAGATTGGTCGAACAACAAGTTTTCGTATTATCTATCTGACGCTACTGGCTACATACATATACAATATGTAAGATTTCTTAATCACAATCCCCTATCAATTGAAATAAACTTCCACGTGGTATTCTCCGGCTTTATTGATGACGTGGTCAAGAAAGAATCCTGCCAATTTCTCTTGAATTGCTTTCATGCGATCTGGTTCTAGGAGTTCATTCCGCATCTGCCACGTCTAATTTGAAGAAGGGGGTTAATTAATACATATATATAAATGAAACTCAACAGAAATGATGGTGTAATAAAATGAAATTGTGAATATTATTGTTTACGCACTTCATATTGTCTTTGAGAGTAGCCCCGCTTGTTTTTCAAAGTCGCGTTGTGGATAAACTCGCACACGTAGTGTCCACAGAAATCATTCCCTTGTTCCTGCCACAAGCACTTTACGAGAAATAGAGGTCAAAAACTGATAATGAAGCATTATAAATGACATTGATCAAAGTATAGCTATAGAATCAACGGGAGATGCACGCAACTAGCTAGTCAGTAGTATTTACTTTCGGGTATGTATATCGCAGCTCCTTCGGCAGTCCCGGAGTTTCTGCGGTAAAATGTTTCCAAACCCTGCAAGACAAAAATAATAATTATTATTACTTGAGATATCAGGAAATGAACAAAAAGTTGCCGATATGGTGCGATAATGATTGATTGAACTTACTTGTTGAGCAATTCAGTCATTTCCGCATAGATTTCGGGATCTTTTCGTCTCGAGTCTAAAACGGTTACTAGTCCTCGCTCAAGCTTAATCTCCAGAAGAACATAGTGGAAGCTGCGCACGCATGCATAACTCAATTACATTACTATAACCTCGCTCGAGTAATAAGGGAAACCGAATATGCACACGACAGTAACTCACGCGAAGTTGTAAGGAAAGAGTATGGTATCTTTGTTTTGATTTTTGATCAACGATTGTAGCAAGTTGTCCTTGGCCTGTTTGGCGTGCTTTTTAACCAGAAATTCATCTATGAAATTTGTGTTAATGAACCCAATATCATAAATTTCTTGTTTTTTGCACTCGACGATCTTCAATCTGCATAATATATTGAGGATAATTAATTATAAATACATGCAATGAAAGAGCCGAGCTATATACAGAGACTTAATGACAGAAATAGTACTTACAGGCAGTAGAAAAAGACCGTTAATTTATCGAGGGCCTTTTGATTGAAGAACGCGAAGAACTCCTCAAATGGAACACACAACAGATCAGTTGCAACGAGGTCGTGCTCCTCTTTAATGTTCAGATACAAACTATTCGTCCCCCAGACTTTCTGTAGGTTTTCATATACCAATTATGGAATCTTCGCATCATCGTTGTTAGAGATTTTTCATCTTTGACGAGAGGCTTCCCGTACTCGTATTTGTGTTCGTCCACCTCCATGAAATCAGAAAGTTGATCGTCAGGCAGGTAATCTTGTAGATTGCCATAACCGGCCACCATCCCAGGAGCATTAGCGACGATGTTGCCGCTAGACACATTGAGCGGGGGGCACGATTGGTTTGCTTGTTCGCCGAGCTGGTCAATTTTTTTCGTAGCTGCTCGTTCTCTTGACCTTTGATGTCTGACAGTACTTCCCGACCGCTTTAGTCCCGGTTGAGGGACGGCGGTCACGGGTGGCACACGGCGACAGGGATGAGGAGGGTGGGCTTGGGGAGGCACGCGGCGATGGGGACGAGGACGGCGGGCTCGAGGAGGCCGACAACGAGGATGGCGCGGGCTCGGGGAGGCTGGCGACGAGGACGGCACGGGCTCGGGGAGGCGACGGCCTTGGCGGCGGCGACGACGACGGCGAGGTGGAGCAGCCTGACGGCGTCGATGAGCTCGGCGTCGTCGGGGGATGGGGGCAGCTGGCGATGAAAACTGAGAATTTTTCACAAGTCTTTGCTTATATAGCAAAGCCATTGGTCCTAGTTCGTGGCACGAACCGGGACCAATGCCCACTTTAGTCCCGGTTGGTGCCACGAACCGGGACCAAAGGCCAGTTTTCGGCAGCCCAAAGGGTGGGAAGCGGCGGCCTTT